CAATGCCACGCCCGACAGATAAGAGAGGTGTGCTCAGAGTGATGGGAATGATAAACTTTGTAGGAAAATTCATACCTAACTTGTCAGTGAGAACATCAGCACTAAGGGAGTTACTTCGTGATTCCATAGAATTTAAATGGTCAGCGAGGCATGAACAAGAATGGAATGATTTGAAAACCACACTGACATTCAAAGCTATACGAAGACAACACACTTATGTTTTGTTCAATTTAATCTTTTACTATTTATAAACCCTCCAGCGTCTGTTTTCATGAACAGCAGCATCAAACCAATAACTCCACATTTACCTGCAGGTCTGTCAGCATGTTGATGCAGGCGCTGCTCCTGAGAAAGAACACAGAATTCATTATTACGATTAACTATCAGCAGGAATAATTTAACCAGTTCATTTGTTCCTGGAATCTGTTACTCGGACTGTAAGTGTAACAGAAGCAGAGATGAAAGTTTAGATGAGCTCAGCTGCTTCACTCTCACCACTTCTAACATGAAGTTCTGCTCCAGCTGGTGTCTCATCACAGGCGTGGAGCTGTTCGTCAGTCCCTGCAGACAGATCAGAGTCAGTTCTTCCTTAAAGACAGTGAAACATGCTGCCTGTTGTGATGTCATGCTGGAAACAAGATTCAGAGCTGTTAGCTGAACCGTGCTAGCCCAGGTGGCTAATGTGTTAGCAGTTAGCAGACAGAGTGAAGGCAGGAAAGTAAACCAGACTTCAGCTGAACATGAAATAAAGATGTGAGACTGATCAGGACAAAGCGTCTAAACAAATACATAAGTCAGCTAAACCACAGCACCTCCTTTTACTTTACTCACCTCGTCTTTTGGACTTTTGTCTCCAAATGAAGTAAATGATGACGAGAACAAGGCTGCAGACGAAGACAACTAGGGCTCGGATCCCCAAGTCAAACAGGTGACGGTTGGCTGGAAAAGCAAAAGAATAATTATGCGATACAATTATTAAACAAACATGATCGACTCATACTATTTATTAATATCATAAACACTGCTCCAAAAACTTAAAGGAACACTTCAGAGTCTAGCATCAGGCCAGATGTTGATGCACAGCTAGGCAGCAGCTGTACTTAGAGGAGCAACAATGAGACGACCTCCAACACAGGAGCAGTTTTACAGCTGAAAGTCTCAGACATTGTTTCCTCCTCATCTTTTCTGTCTGTGTTTTCACCAGTTTGACATCCGGCTAAGGTCAGTGTCTCTACTGGTAGCACTGGGTGATACTGGACCCTCCACAGGTTGCACAGGTAGTCCAGCTTCTCCAGCTGTGGCACATTGAATACGTGCCACAGCTGGAAGCTTTGCTGTGTCTCGAGGCGTCTTTGAATTCAGCCTCTGTAGGTTTATAATGTTCATGCCCATCCAACGATGTGGCATCCTTCCATTGCTAGCAAGTCCTCGTTCATATCATAGATATGCAGCAATAGTGTTCCCCATTGAGATCAGACACGTTTTCAAAGTCTTCCTTTAAGTTTTTTGAACAGTGTTTTTTTAATGTAATTCAGAACAGCTGAGCTTGTCTGACAGAGCATCATGCCTCAAACACGTCATTTATACTGTAAACAGCAGAGCTGATGTAAGTTTGACTGAGAATTATTTAAACCTGTGAAGCTGACTGATGTCTTTGTTGGACTCATACCTGACGGAGCAGGTGTCACTGCTGGCTGGTGAGTAACTGTTGTAGTTGTTGTTTCTTTATCTTGAGAATACAACAGAGAATTTAATTTCATAAACTGAAAATGAGAAAGACTGACAGAATTACACGTGTGTATTTAGCCAAATATATACCATAAATAAATAAAATGCATGTTTTCAAAAAAATACAATTTCTATAAATAAGAAACAAAAACATTTGATAATATCTTGAGATTTGGAAACGATGACTGGGTACTGGATTTGTTAAAAGTGCCGTGTTATGCAGGAGCAAACGCAGTGACGTCATCGACAGCACTGATCAAACTCGAGGGTCTAAACTAAACTCATCCTGCTCTCTGCTCTTCCTCCTCTTTGAGCTGTAAACTATGATGTGCTGGTGGCTGCAGACCCCGCAGGTTTAGCTCTCTGAACGTGGAGTTTAATGTGTTTTGGGTTCATGTGTCTCACCTCTGTCAGATCTCTGTCCTTTGGTCACATTCAGATAAGCAGCTGGTTCTCCATCACAGTAGTACAGTCCAGAGTCAG